CATATTTTCTTTCAATGGGATCACTACTCTAAAAAAATTTATTCTTTTTAGTCTGTTTTATTTTTCATTAGTCCCAGATCACTGATGGAAATGTTGAGTAGCACGAGACTTAATAGCCCCTCTTTCTGATGCCGAGCCTTTGCTGATTGCTTTCTTATGCATGTTCGTTAGCCAATTCTTAATCCAGTTAAAACACACTTTATTGATATTGTGTAGTGCTATATTTTTAATTAGAATATTGAATGATACTAAGTCGAAAGGCACACAAAAGTTGAAGTGTGTTATACCTACATCGTTACCTTTGGCAGCCAACTTGAAATCTCATCAAAGAAACGAAGTAGATTTGTTTGACAAGGCTTATTTTGCACAGAACTATGTTGACTAGCATTAATTATATTCCTATCTTTTAATAATTTATTAATTTAATATCTTGTCAGTTTTCCTATTATTTCTCCCAGGACTGATGTTGGGCTAAGCAGCCTAGGAGTACAGGGATAACCTGCTTGCCCTTAGTGGAATACCAATACAAGATGGGACACCATTGACATTGTTCGTGCCTACTTTAGGTCCTCTAAATATGCTGTCTTACTTTTGCCATGACGGGATTTTTTTACCAATGGAAAAAAATCTCATCAGCAAATGTGGAAGTAAAAGAGTTTATGTAAATAAACTACTGAAGGCCTAGTTGTGTCGTTGTGCAATGTATTAGAAATGAAAGTAAAATTAGTGTGAGTGTGGGAAAAGATGTTACACAACTCGACCGCAGTTTTACAACATGATGATGTGGGCTCAAATAAGAAAGAGCAATTTAAGAAGTTTGAATATGCACCTGTAATTCTGCAAGGCTGTTACGTTCTTGTTCTCAGAACTGGCTTGTCAGTGAGATATAAACCAGAAATAGGTACAGTCAGTTACATGTGCATTGGGATCTTTTCTGGATTACAAAATTCTTCTCAAAGTGTTCATTTCTGTTCTAGCTTTGTTCTGGTGGAATTATAGTATTTGAGTTTGGGCTGGATGCTTTTGTCTCCCTGTATGCTTGATGTTTCTGGTTCTGAATAGGCTTTAATTTCACCATGATTAGGAAAGCCAGATAACAGACAAAAGCAGTGCCTAGGAGGGAGCAGATATCTATTTACAGCTGAACTTTATGCTGTCCTTCACTCCTCAAATAATCTTAAATAATTAGCATTTAAAGTGCATGGCCACAGCTGCTGCAAGAGAATGCCTGGGAGGAGAACCAGCACTTCATCTGCACAAATTCATCACCTTGTTACACTTTGCACACACAATAGACAAAAGAGCCTGTATAACTTCAGGAGCACTTGGCAGGAAGGGTCAGGTCACTCACTATATCGAGAGCTAGAGCAGATGTACCAGTAGGACAACAGCAAGTCCTGGGCTGTGTCTGAGGCTTGTCTGAGTCAGGATCTGGATCGTCAGGTGGTCACTGGGTGCCTATTTCTGCTAGGGATTCCCAGAAATCCGGCATATCAACAAGCAAGGTCATCCATCTCACAAAAAAAGATATGAAGGCAGAGAGACATTTAGTAGAAAACAGTCTGCTGAGAGCTAGAAAACATACTTTCTCAAACCACATTGCTTAATTTGTGTCAGAGATGAGAACACAGATTCCATGGAGCTGCTTTCATTCTTGAAATGAAAATGATTTCAGCGTCTTCCTTTAAAGCTGCTCTGCTTTAAACAAATTATTAAATATTCATTGACCCAGAGAGAGGAAAAAAAGAAGGTAAGCTTATATTCAGACTGTTGTGGCAGTAAAGGGTGTGTCAGCATCAACATTGCAGGTCCTTAGTCCAAAGAAGCTTTAATGATTTTATATATGGGAGGACTCCTAGGCTGGAGAGATTCAGATACACTCACCTTTAAAATTTCACATAGTCTCTGGTAAAATAATCTCACAGATTATGGGAACTCCTCAAAAGATGAAGAATTAGAAAACTAGTTTTCCAGCACTGCTGGAGCATACCATACTAAGATTGTTGGGTGAAACAGGGATGCTTCTACTCTGAATTTTATTTTTTTTCAATTTTCTATGGAAGGACCTTATCTAGTAGATCTAAGATATGCACATGGTCAAGGTCTCTAAGCAGCTAAGTACATGTTGCTCTGAGCTGTTTTACTTGTGGGATTACTTATGTATAGGAGTGATCTTCCACTTATTTTGCTTTTTGCATTTATTTCACTGAACCACTAACTTGATACCATTTTTTTCCCAGACTTAATAATGATTATCTAGAGTTTCAATATTTAGACTACCAATTAAAATTTCCCTGGCTATTTCTAGATGACTTTTGCTTTCTCAGGTGCTCAAGGCCTTGTCCAGTCAAGTTTTTAAAATCTCCGAGGATGGAGATCGCACAACCTCTCTGGGCAACCTTTGGCAGTGCTTAGCCACTCTTTTTAACCATTAAAAAGAAGCTCAAAATCAAGTCAATGTTTAATGTTTGTAATTACAGGAATAGTTATTTAAAAGTGTTTATTGAATCTAAAATTTTCAGAAAACCTAAACTGAGCTTAATAATATTGATATAAGGTAATAAAAGTCATCTAGCATCCCAGAGGAGAATAAACTAATCATACTTGGTATTTGACACTTGACTATCGTGTTTCATAAAATTATTAAGTTTTCAGTTTCTGCTATTATTTCACATATGTTACACGGGCACTTTTAACTGTCATTTCTAATTTTTGAGAGCTTGACTTTGCAATCTTAGTATTACTTTGGCACAGCATGACTCTTTTCCCCCATTTATTACACACTAGCAGTATGATTATAAAAATGAGTCCAACTGCTTTGTCTTTACACAGTGGCTTGACTTGCAAAAGTGCTTTACTTGTTATTAGCATTGACTTCTAAGACTTATTTAGATATACAAAGATGATCAGGGATTCCAACTTCAGGTATTTTTTGCAAATGAGGGCATAGATTTTTAACCTTAACGGTTCTACTTACTGGCGCAGTAAAGGGGGTGGAGAGGTTTGCAAAACCATAGCAACAGATCCCATCAGAGAAGCTTTAAATTTTTTTCCTGTTTGTGGAGGTTCAGGACAGTACTGACAGGATATAAGCACTGAAAGAATATAATACAAAACATGCACTCCTCATAAACTTGATTTTTAACTTAGTCAGCAGTCAGCTGAGTGCCTTTCACAGGTTCTCCTCCCACCGGTGGGATGGCCCCGTGGTGGGTCACTAGGAAGTCGGGCTGCATGGAGGTTTCAGTCTGCCACTAGCAATCCGACGTCCAGAGAAAGCAAAAAGCAAGCCATCGACTTCTCAGCAATCTGCTTGTGGCAGAAACCACTTCCTTGTTTAAATTCCTTATTAAAAACAAACTTTAAAACAAGGTCTATAGACTTTGGACACTGCAAATTTCTTATGTTTCCCATTTATTTTGAAGATATTTGATATTCTAGTTTTCATGCTTCAGGTAGGCCTGTAAAATTTCAAAGGCAACAGTTTGTTGCTCATTAAGGAGTGATCATCAGCTTTATTTAAGAGATAAAAAGTAGCTGGGCTGAAATCCAGTAGATGCATTTGTAGCCTGTGCATAGGTCCCACTCCCATTCATGGCATGCAAAGAAGCTGGGCCTTCCAAGCTGTTGACTGCAGTTCTCTGCATTGCTGGAAAGAGATCTTCATCAGTTTAGGCACAGCATGGGTCTGGGTAGTCATCACTTTGCGTTGATTCATTCAGTGACCCTCGAGTCCAGCACAAGCACGAAATGTCTGTGGGTCCTTCTGAGACAGCAAGAAAAGACAAGGGTGCCCTGCCCTGACCACACAACAGGACATATTTTCTTTCCGTCAGCACATTGCCTTTTGCCCAAGATCGATACTTTTGTTAAACCGGCATGCAGTAGATTTCATGTTTGGATTCTAATTTAAGAAACTGCTTGAGTGTCTAATGTTCAACATAAGCTTAAGTCTTACTGAAGCTGAAGGAGTAAATAGATTCATAAGAATCTGAATGATTTGGGATGGTTTTACATGAATCCTTACACATGATAAATCACAGCTTAAATTAACAGTACATTGTACAATTTCCCAAACTAACACAAAGGTCTCAGTTAAGACAACTAATATCATGCTTTAAGTAAATCCCAAATACATATGAAGCTTTTAAAACTTTACATGAGATGCATACTTTCCTAACATAAAACAAGGGAAAATCTTAACAGTGTATTTAAGATTTTGTATCAATATTTTAATGGAATATTATTTAATAACTTTAAAGCTTACATCAAAATAATATTACATTCACTACTGCATGACTTAATCTTTTTTTATATGACTAGAAATTTAGTTTAAAGAAACATAATTAAAATAATTCTAGACATGCCACTATAACACGATTAAAAATAAAGTAGATACTGCAATATTGTACAAAAATACAGCTAATTTAAATGCAAACCCCTTTTATGCGTTATTTATCTCTGCTTATGTATGTTAGGGGAATTAAAAAGAAGTTTGTTTAAATGACTGATTTTTTTTTTAATAAAAAAGGGCTGCAAAGCAAGTCTTGCTATTATTTAACAAATATTAATCATGCTTACACAGAGGCCACTTGAGAAAAATTTATTACAAGAAATTTGTGACCAGTCATGCCATAGGAAGAGGAAAAAGCCACAGGGCTGAAATGACAGTAAGGTTTGTGTATGCAGTGCTCCTCTGGTAGTTAAATTGCAGGAATGTGACATTGATCTGAAATAGGAGCTGTTTGAAGTAGCAACTGTCAATCTCTGTAATCAAAGGATGGCCCAAAGTCTTACTCAATTAGCCATTTTGGCATGACCGCTCAGTTTATAAAGTCTACCAACTCAAAAAGTGATCTGTCCTCAAGAGGCACTTCAAGAAGACTGCGTGGTTTGAGGATAGTGATCCAGGATATTGATCCAGTCACCCAGGACTATAGCTTGGACGCTTTATTTGGGGTTTTTTTGTTTGTGTTTTTTTTTTTCTCAAAAGTGCACCAATGCCTCATTTAACTGACTGTACTTATGACAAGGTGAGCCAAATGTGGATGTATGTATGAGTGAATATCTGCTGCTGTTGATGCTACTTAAAGTTGTTTGGATTATGTTTTTCTTTATACAGTTATTTACTCTTTCAAGTACAAAAGAGTAAATACACTGTGATATTAATTTTAGAGTACATATATGCTTGTAGATTTGGTTGTAATGATCACTGGTTTCAACAGAGATCGTTCTTGAATGAGAAGAGCATACTTCTGGTCTTTTCTCAGGATCATGTTTATCTTTTCTAACTATTTTTCTTTGATAATTAATCAGAAGGTTTCAGATGTGTTAGGGGAAAATAGTACACAAATAAGAAATGTGTAAGGGTGCAAAACTGAAAAAAAAAAGATTTAAGGTTAATAATTCTATGCAAGTGTTACCAAAACTGAATCTACTGTTTTGAAGTTTTTCAAGTGAACATATGGGCAAATACTGGTACCAGTAACTTGAAACTTTAGCAATTATTTCCATTCCTTCCCAGGTACAAACACACTTGGAAAATCAGTCCAGATACCACATACAGCAAAGCCAGAGGCACCAGGTGAAGCAGTACCTGACCCTCGATACCAAGCTGTCCAGCCAGACGCTTTCCCTGTCCCACTCCCACACAATCCAGCCCGTGGGAGTGACCTCCATTTTAAGAAACGGACACATGCCTCCCGTCAGCGATATTGGCACACCAGAAAGCCCCGTTACCAAGCTGCTGGCCCTTGGAGGAGAACACGAAAATGCGGTATGGCCAGGATGATGAAAGAGATGGGGAAATGGGCTTTGCATACTTCTACAAAAACATTACATGACCCACATTGTATTTGTAGTGGGCAAGAGGTGACTTTCTTTCCTTTCATGGGGCCTTCGGTTGCAGTGCTTGCTCCCTGAATCCTTTTTTGATTATGTGGGTGATTCCCCTGCATGTCTGTGAATAGCTTATTGCATGATCAGACTTCGAAATTACTGCCAGTTAAAATGTACTGTTGCATCTTTTTATCTGTGTCATATATTGCTGTACATTTTTTGAATACGTACTTTGCAATGCAAAACTACTTTTTTTAGATGAGAGTTATTTCTGTCTAAAGGTATTATCCCAGCTGCATAACAAAGTTAAATACTGATTACCTTAAAGATGTAACTGAAAGAATCGCTCATTCATTCTTCAGTTAGCTGATATATTTATATATGGGTTATCTTGGGTAAATTGGCATAGATATGCTAACTTTAGTGGCACCATCGATTTTAATAGAGATACAGCTATTATATAATGTCAGATTCTCAGCCAGTGTGAGATGTAGATCATTATGGCCTTTAATACTTCAATAGATTGAAAGAGAGAGTAGTTACTAGGTAAAAGGGGAATTCCTACAAAAATAAGAAATGGAGATGCTGTATCATATCTTGGGCTTTAACAGAACAGAGGAATCTTACGAATACACTGTGACCCATTTCAACATTTGGACATTATGCAGTTAAGTATGAGGAAACCGAAAAAAGTAAACCCAATGCTTGGAGAGCTCGTGTGGGGCCCCTCCATTCCTTCTGCATTGACAACTGACATTTTATGTCAGGTTTATGAATTACTGGAGCCTCTACTCTGCAAAGATTGCTTCAGACAGCCTTTGTGGAGGCCTCTGTGGTCACCTCTGTGCTGGAACCATTCTCAGGCACTTTGGGTATCTGACCAGGAACGACCTGTGCCTGCCCTAGTACCACTCTCTGTCCTCGAGAGCAAGATGGCTGCTTGTAAACCACTCTCCTGAACTATGCCTGGTGATGACTGGGACAGTGATAGTTGGCACAGGCCAAAGTCCTTGTAGGCATTACTCCAACAATTTGAATAATCCCACCCCAGAGCCTCGGGGAGATGACTGGCTCAGCGTAATCTCCTAGTTGCAGATATGCCCAGTGGTTCAGTGTAGGCTGTAGGTATATTAGTAAATAACACAGACCCAACACAGAGGTTTGTGCACTGAACTGTATTCATTCATATTGTCTAATTGCCAGCATTTACTGGCATGCTTTTGGCACAAAGATGACTTTTCTAAATAAGTCTGAGCAAAACTTCTCGACAGCACGTGTCTGGTTTTTGGAGTGCACGTATGAGCTGTGCTGGGCCACGTGGCCTAAAAGGCTGTGTTGAAAGGTCCCTGTCCTGTGTGGTACTTTCTTTCATTGCATAGGACCCTCTACATTTCCTTCAGCTACAGCCCTTCAAACAGCTCCCAAGAGCTGCTTGAAAAGCCTCAGAGCTTGAGCCAACTGCTCCTGCAGACAGTAGAGTTAACAGTGACAGGTTCGTCATGGGACCTTTCCCAAAGTTATTTTGTGAATGGAATCAGACCAAAATTATCATTGAAAACTCATGCTGCACCTTGTCCAAATTTATATATGTCTGTATGTCTGCAAAGTATTCACTGTTTCATCCTAATTAATTAATTAACTATTCCATCTGCTTCAGTAGCTTTTGACTCAGATTAGAAAAGTGGGACCAGAAGGCTGGCTGGAGAAGTGTGCAATGTACTGCCAAACACAACACAAACCTCTGCCTGCTGAATCTTGAGAGCAGTGTGTTAACACCAAATCTTGAGTGACTCATGCTCTTGCAGAACCACAGGTTCCTTTCAGCCTTCCTGCACCAATGCAGCAACACGCTGTGGATATGACACATTTGACGGAGGTGACAGATCAGTTACAACTTAGCAATGCACTCCTGCCGTCTGCTCTTGGTGTTGCAACAAGGGGTTAAAAAAGGGGAACGGGCTGGTGTTTGGAAGGAAAGAAGTAATTTACTAAATCACAAAAACTGTTTTCACAAGAAGTAAAAAACGTGAATATCATGTAAAAGTGCTTGATTTATTTGAATTTTAAGATATAAACTTCTGAAATTTAGTTTTTACTGATGAATACTCAAAATTATTTCCTCTTTTTTTTAGAATAACTTTGTTTCCGTTATTATTGTAATGATTCGTCTTAAAATATTATTTTATCAGATGGAAGAGGTGATTGAAGACATAATCAATATGGAATCAAGCTTTAATGATGAAGGGATAGGTTGTTCTGAAACTCCTTTACTAATGCAAAGAACTGTAAGTATTTTGTAGAATTTTGTCTTGTTGTTTATAATAGAGAATTTAATTGAGTGATTCAAGCATGCATCACACCTCAGAGGCTAAAGAAGTACTATCAGTGGATTATTCTCCTTTCTCTTCAGTTGCTTGTCTTTTTTGTCAAGGAATATGACAGAAAAGGGTTCCAATGTGGTGGGACACAGCTGTTTTAAGTGGTCTGAATAGCATTTGGGGTTCTAGCTCATCACCAGGTCCAGTGCCTAACCCATCGGAGGTATTATTTCCCACGCAGGACTATGGATATGAGGAATGTCTAGACCCTAGAAGGTCTTTTAAAGTCTAGCTTAAAGATCCTTCTACGTCATCTAAAAATGTCAAAGCTTCCCCATGAAACAGTTTCTACAGTACAGTAGTTTCTCCAGGGTCTTACACTGAAGCAAGGGTAGGCTCTATTTCTTGAACGTCATAAAGGCAAATTGTACTTAGTTGAATAATTTCAAGAACAAAAAAGAAATGTCACTGTTCAGATGAAATGCTTTATGGGAATAATCGTAACAAACTGTTATAATTTTGCAATATCTTTTTGTAAAGAAATGACAAAAAACAAAGGCTACTTACATTACCATATATGCTACACATTTAAAGAGGAAGGGTGGACCTTTTCTGGATACAATGCACAGAGAATTAACATTTGTGAAAAAAACACCTATCAATAACTGTAATACAACACAGTTTATAAAAGCGATATTCTTTGTTCTCTCAAACCTGATTTAGCTGGGAACCTTTTTCCACAGATTTTGTCCTCAGGGCCTTAAAATGAGTACTGATAAAGGGAAACTTCACTCTGGTGAAGGCAGAAGGATTTTCACAGGCTTTGACAGTCTACAAAAGTTCATTTCAGAATACAGAGTCAGGTGCTTGCTCTTAATCACCCACTGGAGGAACACCTTTTTCTGACTACAGAACATCACTGGCTACAGAAATACATTAAAATATAAGATGTCTACGCCTCTCTGTTGCCCATGACACAGTCCAGTATTAATGACAATTAATAGCTCCATGAATACCTGGCATTTGCATGCCAGCTACAGAACTAATACAGTCAATCTGATTTATACATATCTCAGTACAGAACATAGCAAAGAAATGCTCCCTGGGGAGTGAATTAATATTTTGACTCAAATTAACATGAGGCAGGGGAGGATCCTTTCCGGTGTGGTACCGTGGGATGGTGATGAGAGGCATGAATTCTGGGTTTGGATTAGACTCATACTCCCTCAACACCTTTTAAAGCTGGATGATGTTAATCTATGCTAATTCCAGCCTCATTAGCCTTTACCTTCAGCCATGAAGGACATATCTGTCTAAAATGTATTTTATACCCTATTCTTGATGAGCAAGGCAATAGGCAATGACTTTTAGGCCTATCTGTTACCTTACTTGCAAAGATTTCAGACTCCTGCCATGCCCGTGGGCCAGGTAATTGTATTTAGATTTTTGTTTGTGCTGGGGAATGACCAGGCTGCTAGGTAAGCCAGGGAATAGTGTGTATTTCCAAATCTCTCTGTGCAATACTATGCAAAATGAAGCCTGCCTTCAACAAGGCATGCGAACTGTGCCGGTGTGGAAGCAATCAAGCAGCCTCTCTGCCTCCTCTGTCTTCTCTTTTGGCGATACGTACTCCAAAAATATATGAAGGAAATGGGCAGATGGAGGTGGTTTCAGGCATTTAGCTTGTGACTCAGGGTTTTATGGCATCTTTCAGGCAACATCCTAAACCTGCCTGCAAAATTTTGGTCATAAGCTGTGCAATAGAGAAAGATAGAGAAGCAGATAAGAAAATGTGTTCTTTAGATCCGGTTTTTCATCATCACATTAAACGTAATGATTATTTGTTTATCTGAGTTAAAAGGGTATATATTACAACAGTGTTGGACTAGGAGACATGGTCAGGAATGAGAGAACATCTAATTCCCCTGAGAAGAGGAACTGGGGTTGTGCTGTACTTAACCACAGATTCATATTACTTCTTATGTACTTCTGCACAAGGTGCCTGGCTATGGCTGCTGCCATCAACATAGAATAAGTGAGATCACAAATGAGACTGAGCTGCCCATGTGCCTAATGTTTGCTTCCTCCTTACTTTTCTCCAGTGTAATGCTTAAGTATTTTTAGGATTGCATCTTAGATTTTTCCCTTTGTGGCATTGTCTTGAATTTGTCCAGACTGTGCAAAGTAGTTTCTCTAAAATTCTGAAAAAATCTGAGTCTCCTGGTTTTCTGAATATGGTATAAGGTTTCGGGTTTTTTTAGCAGAATCTTTTCTTGAACAAGCCAAATTCATGAAGCCATTTTCTTTTCTCATTTTTCAGAATAGATCATGGCTGAGATTAGAGACTTTGCAGTGCTACCTGTTGTGTGTTGCAGTGAATTAATGTTTGCTTTAGTTAGATGCACACATGTACCATTTTAATGGCACATTAAATGAGGACATTGAATTCTATGAGACCACTCATGTGAATAATTGCTCAGAGGCTCATTGTCTGACCCTGAATTAATGAATTACAGTCATGTATTAGTAGAATCACAGAAGTGAAAACAAGAACATCCCTCCATCTCTCATTAGAATTATTACAGCTTCTGAAGAGAGGGCTGTCTGGCTTTTATTATGTTTGGCCCCAAATTAACAATTTTATAAAACTCCCTGGTTTTGGGTGGCAGCTTAAAGACGGTGCAAAATAAGGAATTCTGTGGCTGTGTTTCTGTTGCTCTTAACAGTACCCTAATGGTAGAAACCTACTTGTTATAATTATTTTTTAGAAGCTGAGTTAAAATATAAGAATAGGTCCTCCCTATGCAAGAGGTTTTGTTTCTTCTAAAAGTATTTGTAAACTCAGTTATATCTTTGTCCAGAAAACATAGCTGAAATCAAATCATAACTATTCTTATGTACTATCACTTGATGAAAATTGGTTTTCACCATGGAGAAGGTATGATTTAATAAAACTTGAAGATGACACCATTTTAAAGTATTTTTTCCTTGTCATAATAATTTATTCTCATGAAACTCTTCACTAACAGACAGCAACATATTTATCTACATTGTAAGAAATCCATTTCTTCTCTGAGTATTGTATTAGGAGTGAAAGGTTTCTTCCTGACCTTATAGGAATCATTAAAAAAATGGAACAAAGAATATATGAGTGAGTATGAGCTAAATAATGTTATGGATGTTGAATGCACCCTCAGCAAGTTTGCAGATGA